ACTACTTAGACCAGTTTTCTGACCTGAACTCTCATGTTCCCGGGCGGTTGGGGACCGCCTCTCGTGATCTCCTCTCTTTTTTACTTACAATTAGACATGTGCGATTCGTTTCGAATCGAAATTCGGACGGATTTTCGGATGTATCCGAATTACAGATATAAGGAATGCAAACGAATCCGAATTTCCGTTTCCGAAATTCGTTAGCGATAGTTCGTTGGAACGTTCGTTTCGTTTCGTTTGTTGGAGCAAAGTGACATTAGAGAAAAACATTTTCCCCCCCTCAAATGTCACTTTGCTGCAAACGAACGAACGAATAAGAAACGAAAACGGAACGAACTACCGCTAACGATTTTCGTCCGAATCCGAATTGACTTTCACACCCGAATCCCGAAATAATACAAATCCGAATCCAAACGAAACAAAACTAATTTTTTGGCAGTGCACGTCTACTTACGTCGCCGGTTTATCCTGTGAGCAGTTTTTTGGCCCTGGTTTGGAAGCTCGGGGGCCCGCTGAAGCTCACTAGAGGAATTTGTGTCCCTTCCCTTCTTGATAATCTCTCCATACTCCCATTTTTTGGTGGGTTCCGACTGGTCTCCATGGACCCTGCGTTGTCCCCTCCGTATCTTGCTCAGTGACTGGAATATCTGTGGGAAATGTTTAGTGGAGTTTCCATACGAGTCAATTTCTTTTCTTTACTTATTGTTACTTAATTGGCTCCAGCCACTGTTGCTCTTACCGAGGCCTCCGTGATAGAGGGACTGCCTGTATTTCATAGGTTTCCTTTATTATGGGGTACCCCATTATGTACAATTCTAAATGTTGCTGGGCCAATGTCCCCCCACATAGGACTGCTTCCCCCTGCGGTGAGGTGGCAATTTGTGACCGTATTTGGGGTCTTTAGTGTTGTCCTCTCCTTTTCTTTATCTATATAGTCTTTGTACCTTCTCGTGCCTATTTACTCTTTCTACTATTTCTTTGGTTGCACGCCTTGGGTCCTCTTGCCCCTAACCCATGCTATCGGGACTTGCTGATAGGCGGCCGTGCCTTTTAATGGTTTCTTCTGGGGTGTTGCAAGATGCATTATTTTGCAGAGTACTATGTGTTCCGTTCTTGTCAACAGATGTTCTCTTGCCCGCATGCATATATACCAGGCATAGGTCGCGGTGGTGGGGGCCTGGGGATCATTGCAGTGCTGAACCACCTTCCTGTTCCTCCTTTTGATCTCTTTCTCTCACATCTTCCCGATTCTTGACTCTTCCAATGCTGGTCATCATTATGTCAGGTCTGGAGGTTGATTTCTCCCTGGAATTTTTCCACTCTTTGTTAGTATTATGCTCACTATTTTTTGTTATATATAATTGAAAGATGAAGACGCTTGGTGAGTAGCGACAGTGCATCTTCATGTAGGGAATGTGCCTACACTGTTATCGCATTTGTGTCAGTCCATTTGCTGCTGTTTTCAGAGGCCTTTTGTTTCTTTCTATAAAAGGTGGGACTGATTGTTTTGTACTCGTTTGCATATTCTTCATGTTTCTAAATAAAGAATTTACAAAAATAAAAAAGGTTTGAGCACACAGTGCATCGCAGTTTGTTAGATATGGGGCTTTATAGCCACAGTTATCAGGGTGACTATGCTGACGGTGTCCACCGTCAAAAGCACCTACAATGGGAATATGAGCATCAGCACTGGACCACAGAGCAATTAAAAGGTGGCCTGGTCTAATGAATCAGGTTTTCTTTACATCATGTAGATGGCCGGGTGCATGTTTGCCACTTAACCGGGGAAGAGAGGGCACTAGGATGAACTATGGGAAGGCAAGCCAGCAGAGGCAGTGTGATGCTTTGGGTAATATTCGGGTGGGAAACCTGGGATCTTGCCATTCATGTAGCTGTTACTTTGACATGTACCACCTACCTAAACATTGTTGCTGACCAAGTACACCCCTTCATGCAAACTGTATTCTCAGATGGCAGTGGCCTCTTTCAGCCAGATAAATGCGCCACACTGCAAAAATGGTTCAAGAATAGTTTGAGGAACACTAGTTTGACTTGGGCTTCCAATTCAATTGATCATGTGTGGGTTTGCTGGGAAAAAAACAAGTCCAATCCATGGAGGCCCCACCACGCAAATTACAGGACTTAAAAAGGATTTATTACTGCTAGCTTGTGCCAGATACCACAGCATAGCTTCAAAGGTCTAGTGGAATCCACACCTCTATGGGTCACAGCTGTTTTGATCTACACAAAATTAGGCAGATGGTCACAATGGCGCATGGGCATATAAACAACTTGATACTAAACTGGTTAAGAATTTGTTAAAACAATGAATTTGTTTGAAAATTAGGTCAGCAGAAACACTGTCACCAATATACAACAGTGAGGGGAAATGTTAACATCAGGTGCCTGGACACCAAGTCTGCTTGTTCTGGGACTAACTCTGTATGTAGTGAAGCAAGGCTAACAGCCCCAAAACTTGGGCCTTCAAAAGCAAGTCTGCAATTACACCTGTGTTTCTATGCTGGCAAGTGTCCTCTAAAGAACACTGTCAGGCAAAAATTGTTTCAACAAGTTAAGCCAGTAAAAATATCTGAAATATGATCATATACAACTGCAAACTAATGGACAGGACATAATATGTAGCTAGGTAAGCAGAAGGGAAATACGTTTGTGTTCCAAATGGCTGGGGAAGTGGCTAGGAATCTTAAAAATTCTCACCTAGGTTGTGCATTGCTGCATAAAGCAATGAAAAGCTTGTTGCACAATATATACACTATATGTCCACCCCTCAAACTGCCATTTCCTACTATCAACAGAATTGAAAACATAACCCTGCTTTTGTACAGTTATCCTTTAAGTTAAACCCCCTCACCCCCACAAAGTTTTATACTCACCTCTCCATGCTCCTCCCAGAACCATGCTGTGCAGCCAAAGGGGAGACGCACAGATGGCACTGCTAACTTGCTGGCCAGTCTCAGACTACTTCTGTACACATGATGAAAAAGCCCTAATAATTTCTATGGTGTGGCCAATGGAACACATGACTGTCTCTCCGTAGGTATGAATACAAAAAAAAAATTCCCCATGTATAAAAAGAGATACGAGCATCCAGTCAAACTAAAAAATGATCCACATAAGATTACCAATTTACAATATTCCTTTAATATCTGAATTTCCTTATGCCAGTGAGCAGTACATGGTAGTTTCTACACACAATACAACCTAGCATAAAATATGAGATGAAAATGATAAGATACGTGAAGGATTTGCAGCCTCCTGAAAAACAGTTAATCCTAGCATAAGAATTAAAGGGGAAACTTGAGTTTTCTCATTATGATGAATCTATTTCCCAGAAAAGAAGAATTCTTTCCGGTGAGAACAGCACCTATACATGGCCTTCATGACAAGCAAACGAAATATCCATTTTAAAGTTAAGTGGCAATAACGCTTTTCTGAGCCATTTATTCAAGAGCTGTACACTGGCTTCCTTCCTGCACATTATATTCAAAGAGAAACAAGGAAGCCAAGACACGTAAACTTGCCAAAGCTGTTCCTAATATTAGTTTATTTTTTTGCAAGTTTATAGGTAAAGCTGGTCATAACCACATGGTGGTATGAAGATGCCAACTTTTCCTTTTATGCTCTCTACCTCAATTAACATGATTCAGCTTAGATTCACTGTTTACGCACTGGCGCGGACAATGCCAGATGCTGGTCTCGAGTCTCATCTCTAGGGAATAATAACGTCAGGCAGGGGAAAGTTCATCCTAGACAAATCTGCTCTTTTCCTGAGATCAGTAAGAAAAGGAAGGGGGGTGTACAGATGTCAAATACAGATACAGACTTTTAGATCTGACCTGTCAGGTGCTCAAACTAAAGAGTGTCAAAATGCAGATAACTGGTGTTATACTTCCAATTAGTTGTCGGGCATGAGGAGACCCAGGATCCCAAACCAACCCTATACAAAAAAACACTACTTCTGGTCTGAGACACTGCCTAGCCCCACCCATTCCCTCTATTCAACATGCCCAATACACAAGCCTCTACTGGCCACCGAGACTGGCTCATTTACTGGACTGTTAATTATCTTGGGGTGGGTGAGTGTAGAATAAACAAAGGCCTATTTATAGTGTGCAATATCAAATCAAGAGACTCTACAAAGCTGGAGAAACCCCACGAGAATTATTACACTTTCCAGCATTACCACGATAACCTGATCTGCTTTGATGAGCTTAAAGTTTACTTAAAATGGCATATATGGTCAAGATGGAAATCCTCAGTCTGGAATCCCTCTTGCAGATGGGGGTCTGCATCTCCAACATTAACTTGATAACCGACAGGAGGATCACTTTCCCCATCCCATTTTATACATCTCACCAAATGAAAAACAAGAAAATTTAATTATATGGCTGCTCCACAAAACCATATATTACCAGCGGTTAGTAGTGCTGTAGGTAAAGCCTGAAATCGCAGCTCTAGATTCAGTTATACATTTGACACTGCAAGGAAGGACCCCTTATGTTAAAACATCGAGAAGAAGCAAGCAGATATTTTTCATTTTTCCTAGAAAATACCTTTAAAATGTCATATTGCCCATGAGACCGCTTAACAGCCAGCTAAAGACTCCAGAAAAATGATGCAACTCCATTTGGGGCTCTGACTGACAGGTTATAGATTTCTGCAACAATGTTACAGAAGATCTCAGTTTTGGTGGCTTTAAAAAAGCAGCATTGATAATACGAAAAAGGAAGTCACAATCTCTAATCTGTTCTTTGGATCATCCTATCTCGCTGCAGCAAATACTACTGTACATACTAGTGTCTCTCAGTGATAATGTAGCTATGGTGATGTGTACAATGCAAAATGCACACACATGCACAAAATGTTTTTCCGTTAGCAATACGTACTCCTTTAGGGTAAAAAAAGTAGGATGCAAACAATTGATTTTATGCAGAATAAATCATGCATGTGCAGCTCAGTGACATAAAATAGATAGCAATGTGTTCAATATATATGGATTATGAATAAAAGTCTCATTGTAACTCAAATACACAATATGGACTATTAGATTTGGCTTATACCTCAATTTTACAACCCATATCTTCATATTCAAAGTAAAGGCTGTGAAAAACTCGAAATAAAAAAAGAAGTATATTTATATTTCACATTCTTTATACAGAAAATACAGTAGCTGTACAGGAGGTCACTCAATAGTATCTCACTTCTTCATTCTCACACAATTTCCTCGTCATGCATGACTAAGCTTCACTTTCATATGTTACTATAACATACACCTATGCCCCTTCAAATCTAGTTGAACATAAAAAATATATATAATATAGGGGCAATGCTCATCATTAACTTCAATGCTTAAAGGCCAACCCACAAACATAGGGTGCCTTTTAAGAGAGCATGAAAACATAGCATTTGAAATAGGAGAAAAATGCTACATTACATCATTTTACACATGTAAACCATTTTACCAAAAGGGAAAAAAAAAAAAAACTTTCAGCCAAATTAACCTTTGGCAGCAAGAGGTAATCAACCTCTTCCTACAGAGTTCAATATTTACCACAAAAGCAATGTTCAATTTGTTGTGCACAAATTGCATTCCAGCTTCAATTTCAATTATACATATAACACAAAAGCAGATTAAAAGGTTTTGCTCTCCTTCAACAGTTCATCACAGTGTAATCAAGTCGACCAGGTTGCCTTTTGGTGGGGTCATACTGTCTGGGAAGAAGTTGACAAGTGTATCAAAGAGCTGCGTCCTCTGAGCATATGTGTGGTCAACATCCGAGAACCCTATTAATAAAGTAAAACACAAAGCATTAAAATCTTACTGGATCGGTGAGCATCAATAGAGCAAGTCATGCATAAAGACTAGGTACGCACGACAGGATAACATTTCTCCTGTCCCTAAAACAGCCACTTCACCTTAAAACTATATCTAAAAACAAAATGTAACATTTTGCTTTTTGGGATAGAACAGGGAAAGGGTTCAAACCCAAAAATTAGTCATGTCCCACTGCAGAGATATTGCTTCCTGTCCCAAAATCATCATAGGAAATGAAAGAAATCTTCATTAGACAGTCATCATGTGTCCCCCCAATGGAAGATTTACCCTCTATTACTGTCATCATTGTGGCACTCAAAATGTGAGATTTTTCTTTTCAGTCCTGGGGCATATGGCCTTTCCCCAATGTTATACGTTATGGTGCATCTGTATGGTTAGAAGTATGCTTGCAAGATAGGTTTGGGATGTATGGGTATATAGTTGGCAGTTGGGCCTGTGTTATTTCAGGGTCATAAAGGAATGTTTGACTGTAGACACAATGATAACCGCTGTATCCTCAAAAGAAACCTGTTGAGTTACCTGCCACTAGATAGATGTACACAACTTATTATTTTAAATCGATGTAACGGGGATCATCAGAACAGCCATTCAAAAATCCCTCCACTGTGAGTGACTGGCAGTAAATGGTGTATAAAGGAAAGGCTAGATAAGAGGAAGGGAGTAGGGATATAGTGTATATGGATACATAGAAGGCATACACACGCATGGAAGACACATAGGTGCATATATAGATTAGACATACACAAGTCCAGGAGGTGACCTAGCTGTGTTGCTAAACTGCAGTAGAGAAAAGCCAGGTAACCAGACTGGTTCAGATTTCTATCAGGGCTGAGTACATCTCAGGAGTAGTTGGACGGACATACAAAAAGCTTTTGCAGGTAAATCAGCTATTATCTGCGTATTTCAAATGGATATCAAACTGTAAAATAAGATCTATACCCGATCAGAAACATGAGGGTAGCTAGAACTGACTTTGTAAAAGTGCAAGCTCCAGGAGAGCATATTCCTCATCCATCCTTCACTACTTGGTCAATCACTGATCTGGAACAAGCGTGAGCATACCAGGTATTGAGGCACATGATATGCAAATGTTTAGTTCCAGGTCAGTGACTCACTAGATAATGAAACCAGAATTAGGATGACAGACTGAGCTTACCCCTTTAAGGTCAGCAATGCAGCCCCTTTGTTTTTACCCTGACAAAATTCATTTTAAACACTGCCAAACCAAGAATTTATAACATGCCAGTACAGATTTTCCACACAAGTCTGCTGTATATTTTACTTTCAAGTTTACCTACCAAGAGGAGTGAATTCTTTGCTGGATTTGAAAAGTGCAGAGGGAAGAAGCTGAAACTGAAATGAGGAAAGAAATACGGCTTTAGCATACTCAACAGCAACTCATTGTTACTTTTATAAGCCAAAAGATGTACCTCTGCCATTTATATGAAGCTATGCCAAGGTTTTGTATTCTCAGTCATTATAACTAACCAATGTGTACCATTTGACAGCTCTGATACACCACACTATAATCAGAATAAGACTAGATCTCTGAGATGCTAGATATCTCCTTACCTCCTTAGTCTCTTCAGGGTCAGAGTGATCCACTGTGTCAAACAGGTCATTCTGCAGGTATTTCAGCGCACTCAGGGGTTCCGTTTGTGCACGCTCTTCAAACCTGTAACAGTTTAAAACGTTTGACAACACATCTCAATTAAAATATATCAAGGCATAGATGGCAAAAAGGGCAAATCCTATCAATAGGCTAAAAATGCACTTACCGGTGTTTCCTAATCAGATATTTAGAGTGTCTTAGCAAGTAGTCTTTTGAAGGCCGGCACAACTTCAAGGACCAGAAATCATCCAACCTCATTTTTGGAGAGCAGGACTTCCCTGGATTTCCTCCAAAGAGATAATGAACCTTACGCAACAAGAAAAATATGCAGTTATTAAAGACATCTAAACACACTGTACAAAGATTTTGTGCAAGTGCAACAAATAGTATGCAATATATGTAATATCGAAATGTACTTCCTATAGGAATGAACTTCCTACAACATATTGCATAGCTTCCTTCCTGCCTATTTCTAAAATAATGAGGCAACAGGCTGCCTCTTCAGGGTTTTAATAGTACACACAGTTATATGCATTCACTGTTTTGAATGCTGTGAATCAATGTAATTTATCAAAGAAAAAGTCACCAACCCTAAACTAAGTTTGTGGAAAATAAAAACAGCACCAAGCATGAGAGAATCTGTGCAAGCACTTGTTTTTTCGTTTAAGATGAATCCTTGAAAATCGATTGCACTACACATAAAGCTTGTTGAATAAATATGCAATTATTTTTAACCTAAAGACAAATCACTGATATACGTGTATGGAAAGCACTAGACCTCATCAGTGAAACAAATACTGTAGCTTATATCGAGGTAGAAACTAGTGAGCAGCAATATAATATAATAATAGATAGATATCTATCTCTCTCAACCCCTATTCTTCCTCCAAAAATACTGTGAAGTGCACTACTACCTCCTTAAAAAGCCAATTTATAGGGAGTTCATTATGTAAAGTTAGTGGGTGGAGTTGTGCAAATCATTCTTTGTTTCTAAAAGGAAACCCACAGTAAAAAAAAAAAAAAAAAAAGTATGAAGGCTGGAATTATGTAACTTTCAAAAAATATTGCATGGCTTCAATATTTTCCAAGTCAGCAGATCAGGATGCACAAGCAGATCAGACGTTCTGACTTCAACTTCACTTTCCTGATCTACGTACTTTTAGAATATTCAGCTCTGTGCCAGTAATGTGTTGATAAAAGTAACCTGCAGAACAAAGTGTTTCCTGATTTAAAAGAAAGAAAAAAAGGCATTCCCTCCACTTTTTCACAAGCCATATTTTACAAAATGCAAGAGCATACAACTACATACATGTGTAGTGTAAATGTAATGGGTCATTATGCTACTTAGCAAGAAGTTATTAAAACACCACAAATTAGATTTAATAAGATATCATGTTGCAATCGAGACTTAAGTTAATAGCTTTACATGGATATGGGCTCAAATCAAGTTATCAAGATGTTTTTTGTATCCAAGCGACCTCTTTTTTTGAATAATAGGTGCTACCCAATGTCGCTGTTGAAGTTACTATGCAAATACCTACAACCACCAATCAAATCTCAGCAACGCTGTCACCCACACCCCAGCAAGGTTTACCCCAGCAACACACAGGACTCAACACAGCCAAGCGAAAATCACTTATATGGCTTAGTGAGGTTTGCCACAAATGAAGCTAACGTGAGGGATGATCTTGTCAATGTGTCCAATAAACTGGTGGCAGATTGAACCCTGCCACGGGTCACCCAAAACAAAAGCATTTTTAGTGGACTTGCTCTTTAATGTACACCTGTTAAAGAATTAGTGAGGCTACCATTGGTGGTCTCTTCTTTTAAGATTATTAACTGCATGGCTGGAGTAAATGAATGTCTGAACAATATTAAAACAAGACAACCAGCATTTTCAGAGGCCAATGGAAGCCTGCATGCATCTCTCATGACCGATGTACTGCCCATAGCGACAATACCTTGTGTAATTCATCATAAACCAGCTGGTGTGCAAATCGCGGACAAGGCTCCTCCTCTTGAAGGCTTTTGTTTGGATTTTCTTTTGATGCTTGATCATTCTTATACACACAAGACCTGAAAAAAAAATTGCAACAGTAACAAAAAAAAAACCAAGATGTAAGCCAAGAAGAAAAATAGAAACCTACGAAAGAAGCCCCCCCTGCAAATTATGCCATGCTTTAAATCATATGGTAGGCTATTTCTGCCTGTGGATAGAGCTGAAGACCACAGCATCATTTACACCAAAAGGAGACACACATTTGCATGGGACAGCACTGGAGAGGAGGCCAGTATAGCAGCTGGAGCTTCCAGGGATCCAAATATTTGATTGGAGATTGGAGTTAGAGAGTGATTTTGAGTGGGATAGTTGGGGGAGGGGGGGGGGGAAATATTCAAACACAAAAAGGAAAAAAAGACAGCTGGGCAGATAAAAAACATCTCATTTAAGCTTCTTTTATTTTATGAGGAACTCATTCCCTTCAGCTATCATCACATGAACAAATGCTCAGATATTCAGTCATGCCACAATGGGAGCTGTTATGGAAATTCACTTGGTTCAACGCACAAATCCATGTCGCATTAAGCTGCGCCAAACACAAAGAATTTCCCCCGTTGTACTACGCTCCTTTATGCAAGGACTGGAAATATCTCCTTCTATAGAGTCATGTAGAGTCAGGAGACAGATGTTGCTTGCTCGATAATACCATGCTAAGAGACCTGAGCACAGGTATGTTTATTGTTTATACCTGCCCAACAGGAAGTGATGTCAGACAGGAAGGGGTGTCTCAAACAGCGAGACAGGAAGTGATGTCAGACAGGAAGTGAACAGGAGTCAGCTAACAATTCACATGTAGTAACAATCAATGACCACCGGAGTGACTTTATCCCACGTTGCTCAGTGAGCAATGCCACATAACGTTACTAGGATTCTCATGCGCGCTCATTCACAGGGACAACGTTATGTCATCTCAGGCGTGTTGATCAGGCACACCAGAGAGAACAAACGCACGTTCCTTTCATATACTGCGTTCAAGACAATGTATCCACGCAAGCCAATAAATCCATGCATTGCACGGGGGGCCCCAGCCGGCGTCCATACATTCGCCAAGACACAGCTCCGCTGCGCATAAGAAATCTCCTCCAATGGATTAATCCCCCAGCGTCTATTTACCGAGACACAGAGACTAATGACAAAACATTACAATACACTAAAAACACATCCTAATAAAATTTCCACAACAGAGCCCAGAGCAGCAATTTCTGTACAACATGGAATATATAATAGTTTGGGGTTCATTTAGCTATAGGTGCCGATTTATAATGCTTCACATTAAGATGCATTTCTGTACAGGAATTTGATGAATACAGAAATCCATGTATGTCTATACGTACCAGCTATTCCTGACAATGTCATAAATCCAGAAGGAATTCCTCACATTCTCCTCCCGTTTCTCTTTGTCTTTACTTAAACCTGACAAAACGTGGATTTCATTCAGCTCTGGGTCAATGGTGGCTCTCTGAGTGAAACCAGTCATTGGAACTGCAAATAAAGCATGCTAATTAAAAGCAGTTACATGAATCAGTTTTCTTACATTCTTGACTGAAGCGACAAATAAACTGCTATTACATTTTGGAAAGTCACTTGTTAGCACGCTGCACAACTCGAAAAAGGAAACTATCCAAAAAATATTTAAAGTGACACAAAACCCTCAGCTTTTTCGCTCCTAGTACACGTCTACACAACAGTCTCCAAAGCCACATTTATGTTTTAAAACAAAGTCTTACTCTTTTAATCTGTTTAGAAAGTCTGCTGCGCGCGCTCACGTTGCTCTTCTCTCCACTCTCACTTCCTATCACTTAGAAAAGAGCTGTGCATGTTGATTCTGGTCACGTGCACATCTTTCTTTGCCTACAACTAGGGCTGAAACAATGAATTGATAAAAACAAAATGATAAAATCGATAATGAGAATCGTCGTCAACGATTCTCATTATTGATTAGTTGCATCCTCCGTTCTCCTCCAAGGTGGTGCTGGCTGCAGCGGTCCGTGTCCCTTTCAATCTCTGCTGCTCTCCCTGCCTGTGTCGGCAGAGGCAGCAGGGACAAAACACTGCAGCCGGCACCAGCGGGGAGGAGAGACTGCGGTGACTCTCTATTCCCCCGCTGTCGCCCCCCAACCCTCCACTGCTGCCCGCCCCATTGCCGTCTTTGCTCCCTGCGTGCCCCTTCCTCTGCCTGGGGTATAAAGCCGGCATGAAGTCTTCCATCAGTGGCTGGAAACGATACCCAGCCTGCTATTGGATATTTTAAATTGCAATAGTCAAAAGCAGGCTGACTATAGCAACCGCCCACTGCCTGCTGTCAACCAGCAGAGGACCTGAAATAACCTTCTCCTTCAGTTCCCTACTCTGCTGATTGACAGCAGACGGGTTCAATAGCCCGCCTGCTATTGTAATTTGAAATATCCAATAGCAGGCTGGCTATTGCTCCTCCTAGCCACTGTATGCTGTGAAAGGTGTCCTTTCCCTAGACAAAACTATTAAAGTGGAAAGGTGACAATAGGGGTCTAATTGAATCCCTGTCACCTTTAAGAGAACCTGTCACCTCCAATGTGCTATCACATAGGGGGCTTGTGAGCAAAAAAAAATGTAAAGTGCCTCAACCCCACGAACACACACATACTAAACAGAAACAAGTTGGATGCACCACATACGAAACAACGATTGCGCTACACATGCAATAATTCTTGGGCCAATATTAATCTCTAACACTAAACTAATGACTGGGCGATTATATATTAGTGTGTATACATGAATATTCATATTTATTATTTTTGTGCCAATTTTGGGGTGTTTTAAATAAAAGGTTGGTTATTTTATTAGATTGGCTTAGAGTTTTATAGTTCACATTTTAAATCCATGAAGCTAAAGTGTCTAATATAAAAAACATAAAAAAATATATTACAAAATTATATAATACATTTTTTTTTAAAAAAGTGGGAAAAGTCATTTTCAGTTTCGGCCTGACAAATTTTGCTGACGTGAGTTATAATTCATGTCAATGGCATCCCAAATGCACCTCCCGTCCAGTGTGATCACATGCACTGGAACGTGCGGTACTGCAATGCCGTGTTCCAGTGCAGTGATATTGCAAAAAATGTGCATGCAGTTTTATTCTGAAGTAAACTTTATGTCTGTAACGCTGCATGTGTATTTTATTTTAAACTAAATGGTACATTTTTTTTATCCGGAACAAAAAAAAAAAAACTTCGGCCAACTAATCGTTTATGAAAACAATTAGTTGCAGCCATAACTACAACTCCCATTAGACAGGGAAGAATCATCTCAGTGCACACAGCTGCCTCCTCCCCCACTATACACACTGACAGCATCACTGCTTGTAATCTCCTCTGCAATGTTCTGAATGATCAAAACTACTGACAACAAATCTACAACAATCACTTTTACAACAATCTACACAGAAAAACAACTTTATTTCAAATGTAGGAGCATTTCCTCTGTGACCAGATTCAGCATGTGAGCCGAGACTCTGAAGTATGAGGCTGGTGACAACTCACATGGTGAATCTCCTCTCCTCCCTCCACACTGGTGATCCAGGAGGAGAGAAATCAAAGATCATATATTAGTGTGGGAGAACTGAAGAATTCTCAGCTCCTTGCAGAGTCTAGAGGAGAGGATTTGTGGGTGGAGACTGAGAAGACACACCCTAAGCATGTTGTAGTCCTTCACATGTACCAGCACAGAGGGTGGTTACTTTTCAGCTCCCATAGGGGACATGGAGAAGAAAAGTAGCCACCCTCTGGCAGGAAAAATGAAACCGATTTTGGAGCACTCAGAGCTGTACAACGACAAGAAAAATATAAAAAAGGTACAGTCATTTTTCTTAATTTGAGTTTAGTGATGCTTTAAGTATGATGATAAACTATACAACAAAACACACTTTTTTTGCACAGCATTATGTTAACTTGAAATCACACTGCCCTAGTTTGGGTTCCTGTGGGCTGCTTTCTGTACTTTACTTTATGTTCAGATGTTGTCTGGGCATCTGCTGCATGCTTCTGGTTTGTATGTGCAAATGACAGTCATACAAGTCTTTACCACAGAGCTTTGTGGGTTTTGTTATGACATCCAAAACAGCAGATGGCTTACATTAAAGTGTCTCTCTACCAAAAACCATTTAAGGTTTTAATAAAGTAGGGATCCCTTAATGTGCAGAAACCTGGAAGCTCACAAGCAAATGCTTTGCTTATCACCTTGAGAAAGGGGTCATTTGAAGCCAAAATGATGATCTTATGCTTGCTTCCACTATATGACCTCATTAAAATTGTGTTTTTTTGAGGCGTGGAGGATCTGGTGCTGGATGGATTCATCTACAGGAACAGATATCCGACAGGGGTGTTAAGTGTGTGTGTGTGTGTACATATCCTATATGCTAAACCTTCCATTTACTAGAACAATTTTGTGTAAGTGTGTGTGTAAGTGTGTGTTGTGTGTGTGTGAGTACGTGTGTGTGTGTGAGTACGTGTGTGTGTGTGAGTACGTGTGTGTGTGTGAGTACGTGTGTGTGTGTGAGTACGTGTGTGTGTGAGTACGTGTGTGTGTGAGTACGTGTGTGTACGTGTGTACATATCCTATATACTAAACCTTCCATTTACTAGAACAATTTTCACTTGATAATCTATTTGCCTCAGAGCAGACTGTTTCGGAACTAATAAACTGAAGAGAACATAATGTTCTGCCCAAAAGGATTTTATTTGGAGATTTCACAATATTTCTGCAATCATGGTTTTGCCATTTGTCGGTAGATCATTTATAAATAAATCACATGTCTTTGGTAAAAGCAGATCCCTAAAGGAGACTACTACACAGAATGCCTTCTCGCAACATCTTCCTGACTGCCAAGTTTGGGAAATCTCAAATATAACCTATAGCAGATGGCAGCCTGTTCCTGTAGCTATGAATGATTGGACACTAGCAAGCTGAGGCATAATACAACACAAAAGTCACCAGTAGAATCTGCAAATGCTTATCAAGTGAAGCAGGTAAAAGGTAAAGAGAGTTTACTTTATTCTTTAAAGCGATAGTAGAGTTAAAGCCTTTAAGCCATTGGAATGCTGCTTAAATCACTTACTACAATGAATGCCGCTTCTTGATGTTTAGTCCCTGTTCACACCTAGGCGTTTTGCAGCAGAACGCCCAAAGGAACGCTATTGTTTTCAATGGCCCCTATTAGCACCTGAGCTTCCTGTCACCTGTAGCAAAATCCCTGTTGCTGGAAAAAGTAGATGAGCTACTTTTCTGCAGATGTCTGCACTTTTGGCCCATAGACTTCAATGGAAACAAAGTTTGCTAGCGTTTTGTCATGCGTTTGTCCAACAAGCACCAACCTTTGCAAAAAAACAATGGGAACAAAATGGAGGACAGCATAAGCTGAAACACGAAAAAAAAAAAAACACTGAAAACTCTTTAACAAAATGTGCATCGATGTACATAAAACGCTCATAGAAACTTCTGAAGAATCCGCCTCAAACTCTGTCGCTTAAGTGTCAATGGAGCCCTAAGGTTTTTGCTTCCTGCACAATCGGCTAGTCACCCTTATGTCTCGACTTTTGTAACTCCCTCTTCATTGGCCTACCTCAACATAGACTATCCCCCTTTCAGTCTATCATGAATGCAGCTGCTAGACTCATCCATCTAACCAACCGCAGTGTCTGCAACCCTCAATCCCTGCACTGGCTTCCAATAGCCCAAAGGATAACATTCAAAATATTAACAACCAATTACAAAGCCATCCACAAATCTGCCCCCAGCTATATCTCCAACCTGGTCTCAACTTATCACCCTAACTGTCCCCTACGCTCCCCCCCAAGACCTTCTGCTTTCCAGTTCTTTCATCAACTCCTCCCATGTTCACCTCCAGGACTTCTAGAGTCTCTCCCATCCTCTGGAACTCTTTACCCCAACTTGTCCGTCTATCTCCCAATCTGACTGCCTTTAGGCGATCCCTTAAGACTCATCTCTTCAGGGAAGCCTATCCCACCTCAACCTAACCACTCAACCATCACATTCTCAAACAATTCATCCCCACACAGCTACCTCCTCATGTATCACTTACCCCTCCCTTTTAGATTGTAAGCTCTCATGGGCAGGGCCTCCTTACCATCTCGTCTTGAATTGTAATGTCTTCCTTATATTGTAAAGAGTTGCGCAAACTGTTGGCGCTATATAAATCCTGTACAATAATAATATATGTCTGCTAACAAGACCCATCAGTCTCCACAAACACAAAAGCATGACGGGGCATGGTAAGAAACTCCTTTGCTCCCCACTAGTAGATGAACAACTGCTGGAGACTGCGCTGTCCCTTGTGAGCTTGTACTCAATAGGAAGTTTATTGGAGAGACGTTGAGAGAGTTAGGACCAGCTGATGATTAAGTGCTTGGGCAAACATTTGAACTAATACTTTGCTGGCCAATCTAACATTAACAATTGTTTGATCTGGATTTAAAAAAAAATCAGAGTCCCGGCGGCAAAAGTCACCGGGAGTCTGTTTAAACAGCCCCGATGCTGGCGACGTACACTGTACGTCGTCAGTCACGAAGGGGTTAATACTAATTTAAAGATAATCTGTCATGCATATCCAGTGGGCACCTACTTTAAATTATTGCAGCGTTTACCTTAGAGCTGATGCAACGTCCATATTTTACATATTTGATCTGCCACTGTAAATAACAGAATTGTATTCTGGCCACTAGAGGGTGACATGTACTTCACCATTTCATTTTTTAAAGTCAGCAATTGCCACAGGAAACTACTTGCTCTTGATGCCTGCACACACTCAGTTGTACCATAAAGCATCCAGTGATGTACCGAGGTAAATCAACCAGGTCTCTGCCCGTGTAGTCCGGCAATCCCCTCTAATACACTCTACAAAGGAGTTCAGGAACTGTAAGCTGATTGCACTGAAGATCAGTCAGTGGTCAGTCTGTTCTGGCCCCAGGTTCCCTTTAATAACGGTTGAGATGAGCTAGAAAATCACACAGGGAGAACATGGATTTCAAAGGGTTACAGACAATTTGCATTCAGTCTGTCCCCTATATACATTTAATTACAAACTAGACAGAGAAAAGAGAAAAACAAAAACATTGTAAGCAACACACTGATAGAACTAATAAATGTATATCAAAATAGATTCCTCACATGTATAGCCAAAAAATAGAAATGAATATCAATTCCCTTTAGATCCAGAAACTATAATTTTAGGCACCTGTACTCCACTTTGCAAAATCTCAAGACAATCCTTTATTAACAGTCACAAGGTGTAAAAGAGATGGTGCAGGGGAGATCCCGCATTGTGAGATCTTCCATAAGACACAAAGAAGTTCCCAATTCCATAACTGGATTCCAGAGCTACTAAGCCAGGGACAATCTGGTCCTAGGTACCAAATAAATAGGCCTGAGCTAGGACTCTCATACAAAAGTGGAGAGCTGGACAACTCCTGGACTGAAGATCCCAGAGCATTGAGATGGAAGTTTTTCCGAGGGAGAAAAACAGCATTTTAGGTGCAGGTTCCAGTCCAGCACTTTAGCCAAAGTGTTCTTCACATGTGTACTGACAAGAGTCCCTTTGTTCTGACAGAGTGTTCAAATCTAGTCTACAACTGATAATGAGATCAGCCGCCACCAGTACAGACAGGGTAATTATTAGTAAACATTAACTCTAAAGCCCCCCCTCCCTTTTAACATTATCAGGAGAAAATGTCAGTTTTCAAGTTAAGAAAAGGTAAGCAGCAATATTTAAATATTGTTTTTACTTATGCTATGGGAATGGGAACATGTAACTAATATAGACTAGGTGTATTACTAATTTGGCTGCAATAGTGGAAATAAAAAGTTTAAAGCTACAACCATTCCATGCTATAAACGTTCTATGACCATGGTAGCAAACACGGTAGGGACAATATCCTTTTTCAAAAAGGTACTTATCCTAATTAGTCCAGGTTTTGGCAAAACAAGGTCAAAGCTAAGATTGGATTAATATCAGGACTTGCAAGCAGGAGCAGAGCTCTAGAGGGCTTCCGACTAATACAGGTTGGATCCTTAAAGTGACACTAAACTCGGGAGTTAAATCTTAATGCATTCAGGCACCTTAACTATTAACAAAAATGTATCTTATTTGTGTATCACTCAGCTTGTAGATCCTCAAATCATCTCTGAATTGGTGCTGACACTGTCCTTCCTTCTGGGGGGTGGCTACTTTAGTTCCCCATGGTCTCTAAGTGTGTTGTAAAGTAGCCACCGCTGCAAGCTCATTCCTGTGATGGACTTTAACTCCCGAGTTCAGTGTCACTTTAAAGACAGGTATATCCTCCACCAGAATAGTGATTGCCTATTTAGCAAAGTCCTTTTCAAATGGAAACTTTGAAGTCTTAGGTGCTCTCAATGACCCGCAAAAAAAAAACACGGGGATAGCACTGGTAGAAGCAACAGAATGCTCAAGTTCCAGAATGGCACACAATGCATCAATAAGAGCCAAAACAGTATCTTAATTTGGGAGTAATAACAGAAGACTAGAAATACTCAGAGGCAAGCATGTCTAGCAAGGAAGAGCAACTCAGAATAAGAGTCATTAGTGGATGGCTCCAGGGAGACCAAGGCTGTAGGCAGATCAGATCAGACTGCAGTGGGCACGCTGTAACAAGCAGCATCAGAGCCATTAGGCAGAGTGTGAGCACGGGGCACCCATTACAGCTGCACTGTCCATCCCCCACGTGTCTAGAATCAGCCACATTGCGACTGTGTGGCAGTTAGGAAATGTAAGGCTCAGGGTAACAGCAAACTGACTGTCCCCTTAGGAAGACGAGAGACTAAGCTTTTCCTCATTTTAACACACAATGCTTCCAGATCTTTAACCCTTTAACATTAATCTCACCATCCCCTTGCATCCCAGATGGAAATCCAGTACAGAGAACCACTTTTCTTTCATAATTAAGAATGTTTTGTGCAAGAAGAAATGTCATTATTTTTTTTTTTAAGTTATGCTGTGTGAATAAGAAACATACAAGAAATGTAAAATAGGTGTTATCCCAATTTGGCTGCAAAACTGGAAAGATGCTTTACGTTTGCTCTACTGAGACAAAGGGTGTAGGACTGCCTCTACAGCTACACAGGGTCCATGCTACTTTACCAAACTTGAAATGCAAGAGCCTAATGATGTAAAGACAAATCCACTTTACTCTGTTAAGTGGAATCAGACAACTTATACTCATTTATGCACTCCAGGAAAAACTCGTTACTGCAACATTCTAATATGTTTTTCTCTTTGATTAAAAATCAAAGAAAAAAATCCAAGTTAAAATGTAGTAATGAGTTGTCTTTAAGAAGCTCAGCTAGAAGACAAATCACCAGTCATTTCAGTTACCCATTCCAGAATCTTTCTTTGTGCCATCTGAGATGATTTCCACGTGGTCGCTGTCCACATCATAACTAAAAAAGTCATTCAAGTAGGTCTTCGACCTTTGTCCACCAAACACATACAAACAGCGGTTTTTCTAGAACAAAAGTAGGAAAATAACAGTAGGTAACATGTTTATAACAGATCATTTATAAAATGGTCAAAGATTGAATGTTTTACATCCTCAAATTTTACACCATGGAGTGGCATACTTATATTTTTCACACTTCACTCAAGTCTCACTGCATTCACTGGAAATGTACATTTCCCTCCTTAAGAGCCTGTTCACACGACGCCCATTTTGTGTGCTGACCGGCTCCGTACGCTGCTGCACTCAAAATGCATCCCTATGTGTTTTATGGGCTCCAGTTCTCACGTGCGCAGTCCGTTCAGCTTACGACAGAAAAAATGCACTGCATCAGCAGCTCCACGTCTGCTGATCAGCACCTGATCTCATGTGAACAGGCCCTTAGACCTATGCTTCAAATCACTTGTTACTTCACTTGTTTCTAATGGCATTACATATATTACCCATTTACAAATTAAAATTTGCTTCATAAAAGCAAACTAAACCATAAGAGGTGGTAAAAGAGTCAATCATTTTTTTAACCGTTTAAAGTAGGGATGCACCAACATAGCGGCCGAAAATGGCATAATACTGACAGTGCCATTCGCTGGCCGATACAGCGGTGCATCCATTCCTTCTCTCCTCCCCGCTGGGTGCTGCTCCGTGTACCAGCGGGGAGGAGAAAAACTGTCATAGGTGGCCGAGGGGTGTGGGAATAGAGCTCTGTGAGCGGCCGGCATCTCTCCTCCCCGCACCGCTCAGCCTCCTGTCACAGATCAGAGAGCAGTGTGGGCGGAGACAGCTTGCAGCGCTGTCACAGGAGGCTCTCTTCCCACACTGCTCGCTCAGCCTCCTGTGACCGTGTCAGGAAGGAGAGCGGTACAAACACTCAGCGATCAGTGGTCGCTGACTGTTTGTAAATAATTGAGGAACTAGTATGTTTACCATATCCTCAATTATGAATGGGAAATGATCTACATCACCTCCTGTTCATTCATGATTGTGGTTATAGTAAACAAAACAGTGTTCTCATATTATGAATGAACAGGAACACTCAGCATAAAGGATTCCTGAGAACAGAGTCCTCAATCTTTTTCTATTTTAAAAGGGAAATATCAGGGGTCTGTTTAGACCCCTAATATTCCCCAAAGCCCATAAAAGTTAAAAAAAACCAAAAAAACTAAAATTTACATAAAATAAAAATTACATATTTGAAAAAGTTAAAATAAAACATTTTTCGGTCTGACTTTTTTTATTTCGGTTTTGAAATTTTCATTTCGGTGCACCTCTAGTTTAAAGTAAGATGTTTAAAAAAAAAGAATAAAACAAAATCCTTACAGAGTGGAAAAGCATGCAATGTCCAATCCTGGACTGTATATCTTCCGGTCCAGCATTACAAGAGTCTTCTCTGAGCAATTTCCACACTTGTGTTTGACAATCAAATGCAAAGAGTCCACTGAACTGGGGCTCACTGGCTCTGCTATCATCCACATTACCATTACAAGTCAATATTCGGCCTCCAAATGTGTAGATCATGTGCTTTTCGGAATCCATACACATCTAAAATCCATGAAAAGACAAGTTACATCATAAACTATATCTAGGACTCTAAAATAAACAAGGAGTTATTCATACAGAAAGCCACAAAGGAAAACCACCTTCTCTGCATATTTTTATCCAAACTGCACGCAACCTTTTTATTTCTCAAGAGCAACACTTCTTACATGAACACATACCTGGTGGTCAAATACAAGCTTTGGCCCCCCATCTGCTGATGTATCTTCACTGAGTAAAGTCCACGTGTTGGTGTCAATATCATAGCGATAGAAATCACTTTTTAGAGATTTGCTGTTTCTTACAGAGGAGTCCAAATACCGACCCAAAGTATATATCTGCCTGCGCTGAGTATCAATGCACATCTTGTGACAAGATCTGGCACTGGGACCGTTCTAAGAAAACAAGCACAAATAAAAGAAATTTTAGAAGAGCCACATTCATTAATATATACCAACCAGAATGAAGATTTCAGTCTATGAAAATTTATATTTGGCAGATAAATGAGCCACACTGTCAGTTTAAAAGCGTATGCTTCACACTGCATGTCTAAACACGTTTTAGCAGGGGGGGAAAATACCACACACACACAACTAGATCAGCATCTCATCACCAACTTTAAGATCTGACCAACTGAAGAACATTTCAGATAACACGAAAATCCAAACTACATGACAATACTGATGTCTAGGGATGCACCGATATATCGACCGAAAGTGCCATGTTTTGGCCGATACATCGACGCATCCCTGCTTTCTCCCCTACATGCTGGGCGCCTATCACAGTCCGGCAGAGTGGTGTGTGGGCGGAGACAGGCCGTGCTGTCACAGAAGGCTGAGCTCTCCTCTCCGCTCGCTCAGCCTCCTGTGACAGCGTGTCAGAGAGGAGAGCAGGCTACAAACACTCAGCGATCAGTGATCGCTGAGTGTTTGTAGATAATGGAGGACATGGTATGTTAACTCAGGGGTGTGGAATTCGCTGAGAACTAGGGACGGAGCGGAGGGCGTGGAGCCATGACGTGGCTGGGGGCGTGGAGCCGTGACGAAGCCTGACAAGTAGATTGTCATAAGGGACAAGTAGATTCGGCCCCCGCTTTAGTCCTTGGACAAGTAGTTTTTTTCTAAAATTTCCACACCCCTGTAACTATATCCTCAATTTTTGAATGCATGGGAGCGATCTACATCACCCCCATTCATTCATAATAGTTATAGTAAACACACCATATCCTCATGTTATCAATGAACAGGAACACTCAGAGGATTCCTGTTCATTGATAACAAAGGCTGCAGAAAAAGAGATTAAGGACTGTGTCCTCAATCTCGTTTTCCATTTTAAAAAGGGAAATATCAGGGGTCTGTTTAGAGCCCCAATACTTCCCGAAACCCCTAAAAGTAAAACATAAAAAGATTAAAAAATAAAAATACAATATTTTAAAAATTTGAAAAAATGTAAAATAAAAAAAAAAATGTTTCGGTTTCGGCCTGACAGTTTTTTTTATTTCGGTTTCGTTTGTTTTAAAATTTCCATTTCGGTGCACCTCTACTCATGTCTTATCTGTGAACTTAAAATGACCCTGATCTAAATATTTCTAAAGATACACTGTGCAGAAGTAAATGCACCTTGTTGTTCTTGAAATCAATTAGTTTAGCCCCTTGGCCCAGGCTGCAAATGGATCCTTGACCTCTCTCCATTTTGGGAATGAGCCCCACTATGTCACTAAATGCCCAAATGTCAGGGCAGTTACTGTCCACTGAAATCCAAGATCGTCATATCACTGTAAGTGGGCTTAATTTTCAACATGAGCAGAGTCTGAGGCTCCATGTATAGCCCAGGCCTAGGATCCAAAAGGGACACAGGGATGAATGCGAATACTCAAACCAGAAATTGCAGACATGTCTGCACATTATAACTTATCTTTTTTAGGCCAATCCCAGTTTAAAAAGGTTAACTACAGAGTTACCCTTTCCTCTGTTTTGGCTAAACATGTAAAAGACAATGCTAAAAGAAACCAGTGTATTTTAAAAAGCAATTCACTTTAACTACTTGCTGTCTGCCCGTTGTAAATAAATGGACGGACGGACACCTCTGATCAGCAGGTGGACGTACCTGTATGTCTTTATCTGCTCACAAGCGAGCAGAATCCCGTAGTAAATGTAAACAGCCGGTACCAGCTGTTCCATGCAAGCGTTCGAGCAGCTCTAGGGCAGTCCGATGGCTTGAATGGTAACAGCATGCTTCCCCTCCACTGCCGTGCTCCCCCCTCCACCGATGCTGCCAATTATCCTGGTCTCCACTGTCCCCCCTGCGGCCCGGGACCGGCACATCGGCTGTTAACATTGTAAACAAAAGAGAGATCAGCATTCTTTCACTTGCTGAACTCCCCTCTGATTTCTGATGGTAGAAGTGATGTATATTACATCACTTCCACCTTTAGCTGTCATTTCGCTGGCTGCTGTAGCCAGAGAAGCAGCTGATGAAGCAGATCGTTGCTTCATCAGCTTCTTTGGGGGTCCCTAGGTGACATTAGGGGTCTAATGTCTCCATAAAGGAGGACCTGTTATTGTATATTTGCTATCACATAAAAGAAAATGAGATTAAAGTCACATAAACCCCCCCCGCATACACATATAAACCTGTGTCGGGTGCTCCTATGTGCGAAAACAACGACTATACCATAGATCAGGGCTCAAAATTTCCACTCGCCAGCTCGCTCTGGCTAGTAGCTCAGGACTTGAAATTTTGAGCCCTGCCATAGATGCTAAATATCAAAGTGAACATCAAATTGCGAGCAATAATTCTAGGCCCATTAATCACGGTTAACACTAACCTGATGAGCGGTAAAAGCTTTTAAAAGCGTCGCTACGGCCAATTTTAGGGATGATAGTTTTTTGCAATTTTGAGTGCGTGCGCAATTTGAGCCCAGTCTTTTGTGTTTTACCAAAAATGTGGGTAATAAAATGTTTTACAATATAACATAGGGAAAACAGAGTCCCCCACCGCCCCCCAAACTTGCGGTACTTATATCATAATATAGTAAAAAAATAAAAACCCCAGTGGTGATTATCAAGCTCCCTCTGCCCCCCCCCCGCCCACAGTGCGGCTTTGCATGACGGAATAAATGTCAAAGTACTGCAGCTATGAATACTGAAAAATGGCCTGGCCAGTAAGGGGGTGTAAACTGCACAGCCAGGTACCGATCTACAGTGCAGTTTAGCACTAGAGCATGATTAAGGTGCTTGATCAATTACTAACCACACTGATGAAGTGAAACATGTGCTTTGAGTTCCCGCCACCAACCTTCTAGTTTTGCACTATAGCAAAAGTTAAGATATGCATGAATACAGAAAATAGTGTTTAAATCTGCCCACGGTTCAGCTTTAAATTGTGATTAAACCCTTGCGTTTTTGCATATATCTGTTAGCGAGCAGTAGATATATGCAAAAAGATTTTAAAAAGTCAGCGCTGGATCGGAGACCCGCACCAGCGCTGGAGGGACAGCTAAAAACTACAGGAAAGAAGATCGGATTAAGAGGCATCATTTAAGGCAAGTCCTTATATTAGCACTGGGGGGGAGGGGACATTTCCCCTCAATGTCACTTTAAGCAAAAAATCAAAATGCACAAAAATTGACAATACCTCAACACACACAAAACACTATGAAGGCAATGTACCTCTTTCTCTGTATCTCGAGATATGCAGATCCACTGGTTTTCTCGGACACTGTATGCCCAGAAGTCTGCTAGATCCTGCGTTCCATCCCAGCCTCCAAACAAATACACCATCTCTGCCAATCAGGAAACAGACATGCTATTAAAAGCAAACCAATCTTACAGGGCAATGTGTGAAACGATATGTGAAAGATGACTATTGAAACCCCCTTTGAATTTATTCTCATACTAAACATCTACTCAAAACCAGCTTTCAAGATCAAAAACAAGGATATCAATTGACAACAGTTTAGATAATTTTACATTTTTGAAAACCGCTAGTAATCAATTGGCAATTTATGATTAAAAGCTCTTTAAAACTACCACAATTTCACAGCTCTCGGAAAAGGGATGTGCACAGAAATTCTCATTCTTATCAATGGAACAGAGTGCTCCCAGCAGGCCGACAGCCAAACCACAAGCAAAGCTTGTGTCAAAGGTTCAAAGGACACAGACTAATACTATGGTAGTAGATTAGAGCCATATCCATCAAAACAAAAAAAGTCAATAGACAAAAAAACTAAAAAGGTATATTTTTCCTATTAGGCAAGCAATGGTCTTATTGCAGAAAAGTACAGGAACTGGAGTTCCAATGCATTAGAGACGGAAGTGACCTGTGATTGACTACAATCTCACGTTTAGTTAGCTAATTCGTAGTCCATCATAGGAGCTTGGAGCAGTGTATACTTTAGAACGCACATGGACCATGGGGAACAAAAGTAACCACCCTCCAAAAGGAAGGAGTGTAAGCATTAATTCAGAGCTGATTTGAGGATCTACGGCCGAGTGATACACAACAAGATATATTTTTGTTAATAGTTGGGGTACTTTTTAAAAATACACTCCTGAGTTTAGCATCACTTTAATATTACCTTCTGCATTGGTTTCCATAAGGATCACATAAGGGATGCACATAAAGATCCCTCTCTCCCACTGTTGCTACCTCTATGATTAAAGGAGAATTAGGAGGCAAGTGAAAATCACTCAGCCTTATAGTTCTAGCTGACCATTAACAATGAAACTCGGCTCAATAGATCGGGAAGTGAGCTCGCTCACTTCTCGATCTATCCCTGCAGAGAGCCGTGACCGTCAGTCACGGCTCCCTGCAGGGATTCCCCTCCTCCCTTGTCCGATCCTCCAGCGCTGGCTGGTGGAATGGATGGGGGGAGGGGGCGGGCACAGCTTGCTCTGCCTCTAGATAGGCAGAGCCAGCTATCAATACCGCAGCTGGGTGGATCCAGTCAGTAATGTCGGGATCCGTCCCGGCTGTTCCATCTCAGTATACTGCGAGCTGTAGCTCGCGGTATACTGAGCTTAGGGTGATGGGAGGACGCTAGTTTGTGTCCTCCCATTACCCTTAGGAGAACTATGGGGAAAAGCCCTGACCCCATAGTTCTCCTTTAAGCCTCTGTGGTAAAATATGTTATAGTTGCATGGCTCATCTGTGTTATTGGCATGCAGGCCTATCAATAAAGTCACTGAACGTTGGTACTGGTGTTTGCAAGGTCATTTTCCTGTTTACCAAGATAGGCTTGCTACACTATTGCAGTCCCTGACTGCTGTAGAAAAACATGCAGAGTCTCTGATATGGGTATCTGGGAAAGGTTATCATATTAATTAGCTATGCCAACCCTTACTAACTATACTGCACCCCATGTTTTCCAGCCCTGACAATTTTTGACATAGCCGCTACAAACAGGCTAGTTTGTACAAGGGATTTGGGGGTCACACAGTGATGTTCTGAGATGAAAAATATCCATTTGAGTCATCAAACTGAAAACCCCCAAACTTTTTTCTCCTTACCACATAATTCAAAGGACAATTAAAAAAAAAAAAAAAACCACCTTAAAAAACACAATAACGCAAAGCAAACATCTTAGCAGCAAGCTCCATAGACACAGCTCGGAATAAGGGCTCCAGAGAGGGCTCTATACCCGGACACTGCAAAGTGAATATTGTACTACACTAACATTATTTAAAACAATGACATACTAGGCAAAAGTATGTTGCTTTATCAGAATAGTGAACTATGTGTTTATGCCCTAATCGCTCACTAACATGTAGTTTAGTGCCTGCTGAAAGACTACTAGAAGCCACATTTATAAAGATAGATGAGAATTACAGGTGGCTCATAAGTCACTGGTTCCCCAAAAGACATTTTAAAGGGATTTTATAGGACTGACATGGCAGTATAATTGCCATCTTGCTGTCTTCACTCATGGCGACCAAACAATGAACTGCTGTCCTACAAGCAATTGCACATTTGACTTATTTCTGAGCTTTCATTAAAATGTACATTCATTTACAGAAGTATCAGTGTATAAAGAACCATGCAGTTACCAGAGAGGTTTATGGAGTGATAAAACAAATTCAGCAGTTTGACAATCACATGCCATATCAAGAAGTATGACACTTGTTTCCCTGGTCACTTTAAAAGTCCTATTATCTTCAGTAATCCCAAACCTATTATCTATCAGTAAGTCCAAACCAATTTACCAGATTGTACATCAATGACCATTTGATGTCCTCCCCTCATTCCTGGCCTGCTGTCTTCTCCGTCCCCTAAAGAAAAAACACACAAAAAAGCTGTAAAAAGAAAAACACTGCTATTTAACAAAATAATCATTTTTAAAGCTGAACTTCGGAAACAAAAACTTTAAACAGATTTCTTAAAAGACATAACAGGATGTAAATGTACTTTGTGTCCACCAAATGCTTTTACAAACCCAGCTATTACCTTGTAATAATAGCATTGACATCACTGTGTCCCACACTCTGGTAGGGACCGAGCAGGCACTATCCACTACAGGCTGCCTGCAGAAAACTACAGGAGTAGTCAAGAGACAAGACCAGTCACCCTGCACAAGGCGAGAGCAGCAGTGACAGTCTTATTACATAAAGCTCCTGTAAAGTTTCACACTGGATTACTGCACAGATCTGGAAAAAATACAACACAACCACCACCAAGATTTAAGAATACACATGCTTTGTATTTAGACCCTTGGTTCTCAACTGGTGGGTCGTGACCCCATGTTCAGTGGGTCGCCGCATGCCTTCCACTTTTCTAGGTGAGAAGCTCCTGTCTCCCCCTAGCGCAGCGCCGTCAGTTCTCGTGCCGAGCAGCCATTCCAAATATGCTGCCCGGTGCCGAGTGTCAGCTTGAGGTGGGGTGGGCTGGGGTTATGGCCACGAGGGAGCTCCATCCATACGTGCATTGCTTACAGCTCCCTTGCGTGTTCTATAGGAGGTGCCTGGACCGGAGTGATGTCACATTCTGGTACCTCTACAGGTGATGCACATATGGATGACACTCTGTCACAGCGCATTATGGTGTGGGAGTGCATTGTCATTCATTTGAATGACATCCCAAATGCATCTCCCACCTACAGTTCCATCGCCCGCATCGGAACGCGCAGTACCACATGCCATGCTTTCCATTGGACTTCAACTTGGGTCGCGACTAAATGACCAAGGACAAATGTGGGTCCTGACATTATACCGGTTGAGAACCACTGATTTAGACAATATTTGCTTATCCCGGAGTTCAACATTAAAATATGCTTTTGCACTTGTAAGCGAAAATCTCTTCCACCCCATACATACAAAACACAAAGGGGTGCATTGGTAAACAATTCTAAGAGCCATTTGTCCTGTGAAATTGCATGGGTATTCATTTGCTGCAAATCAATGCAAAAACGAAGATCAGCAACATATTTTCCTTCCAGATCAAATTTAATTTCAGGTAAATACCACACTATGGTCACTAAATCAAGCTGAGGATACTTGTTTTCCATGCTCCATCTCACAGCCACAATGCAGTATCTACCTAAAATGACATTCGATCTCAAGAGGAAATATGCGGACATTCATTTTGTACATGCAATTTTGCAGGATGAATGGCTCTGCAAATTATTTATAAATACACCCCTTAGTCACATTGGAGGGAATTTATCAAAGCAATTACGACAGTTTTAGCCTTTCAGATCATTTTTTATGTGCACCTGTCGTGACCAGAGCTTGCACTAGTTTTCCAATTGCGCGTTTTGCGCTTGTTTCACGAAAGTTTGCAACGGTTTACATCTGCACTTGTTCAGCGGCTGTCTGGAGGATCACCTAACAAAAAAACAAAAAAAATCACAACTTAAGAAGTCCCCATGACCACTTCGAGACGCGACAGTTAAGCTTTTTGACTGGAGTTACGAATCTTCTTCCCTGGAGTCTATTAAACCTCATTTATGAACAATAATGCACTAGCAACATAAATCTGACCTAAAATGCGTCAAATATATTCTGTGCAAGTTCAAACACTCGCAATTGCTATGATAAATTCTCCTATTGTCTTTAGAATTTATAGAAATCAGTCAACAATTCTCTCGTGGGTGAAGCTGAGCAAACTATTCCAGTACACAGCTGACATACACAAATGATACCTTTACTGCTTTTAGGAATTATCTGGTTCCACTGTGGCTTATATTCTTGTTGACTGATATATTGGTTGAAGAGACCATCTAAAAGAATAAATCACATTGTGGTTACAATAATTCTAATACCACATCATACAAGTATAAAGGAAATTAGAAACGGACCATAACTACAACACGTATTAAAAGACTAGTGAAATAGATAATTTAACTCTGCCACCTACAGGTAGGTATGTACATTTTCACATTCTAGATTAGAGGCAGTTTAAAGAGTATTTCCACATGTGCAGCCAAACCAGAACACCTCCAGCTTCATTTTTGTTACATGTTCCCATTCATATAGTGCAACTATTAAAAAAAAAAAAAGGAAAAAACATGCTGCTCACCTTCTAAAGGCTCTTTTCTGAAACTTCCAGGACTTTAAAAAATCCTTATGTCTGCCTTGCTATGCAATGTTTAGAGGGGCCGGGGAGATGTGATGACATAATTCACTCTATACTGTGCAGCAATTTCCATTATCAGTTGTTACCTAGATGTGCAGGACGGTCTGTCCTAATAGAGTTGTATGCTGATGCACGGTCTTGGTCCTACAGTATGTTCCCTATTTCTACATTGGCATCTTCTCAAAGCAGTAGAAGTTTCCCAACAAGCCCTATACATAACCCTGCCCCAAAGAAACAACGTAAAAAGTAGGAAAGAGCATTTAAAAATAACTTATTGGGCAGGTTGTGTGAATGGGATCACAAACACATTGTGGAGTTTTTCAAATTTGACTTCAAAAGTGGAAATACACTTTAAAGTTACTACAAGCCCCAAGTTTACTGCAAGTAGATAGAATATAAAATCCAAATAATAAATAAAACATTTTTGTAAAAGACAACCATACTGTGCATCTAATATCTTTACAGAGATATTAAAAATGAACCTACTGTAATACACAGTAGGTTCATTTTTAATATCTCTGTAAAGATATTAGATGCACAGTATGGTTGTCTTTTACAAAAATGTTTTATTTATTATACTGGTTTGGTTTAAGCCTTCTAAACTTTCACTAGACATAAAAATTTGCCAAAGTACATGAACCCATCGCACTCGAAACAGCTGTTCCAAAGATAATGAGGGTGGGTGCTGCGGCTGTCGACGGTTGGCAATCGTGGTCAATATCAAACGAAATATATGGACACCGGCCCTCCAGTAGCAAGTCAAATACGTCTGTTTATTGACGTTATGAGCAGGATAACGGGATACATTCAATGCATTGTGTATCACGTTATTCTGTTCATTGGCCAATAAACAGACGTGTTTGACTTGCTATTGGAGTGCTGGGTGTCTATATATATATTCCGTTTGATAAAAACTTGCCAAGCTCCAGAAGCACTGGATCATGCACATACGGTCAAGCTCTTGTGCTTGATCATCGGCCTTGCCCTCCCATGCCTGCCAACTGGTCTACAGCTATGATGGTCAGTCTTATTAACCAATAGTAAGGCATGCAAGGTGGGCCAAGCTTTGCCCTCCCATGTCTGCCAACTGGTCCACAGCTACGATGGGCAGACTTATTAACTAATCGTGAGGCGTTCAAGGTGGGCAGCCAGAGTTCTAAATGAGCCGAGATTTGCATAAAGCAGAACAGGTTTCAGGACTATGGTTACTCTAAAAACTATACACGTTTAAAACCTTTAGTTACATTTTAGTAAAGACTAACAATTAAACACATTTCCCGCCAGTTTACAGATTATGTGCAGTAAGTAAGAAAAACTATGCAAAAAAACTTGCTAATGTTTTACCATGAACAGCCTTTTCAATCAACTCCTCACTGCCATCAAAGTCTCCTTTCAAAACCAGCTTGTCATGAAGCTCTGTTAACATTGGGTGTTCTAAGGCAATTTTGGTTTTCTTCTGTAAGGATTCAAAAGCTTCTGTGTAATTGTGCTGGCGGAAGTGCTTGAGACAAAGGCGAATGGCTTCCTGTTCACGGTACTACTGGAACACAAGGAAAAGGGTGAACAACTTTACTAAAATCATCATTAATATCTACTGTAAAACACTGCTGCAAAAAGAGCGTGACTTCATTTTACCATTAATTTTATTTAAACGCACACAGAGCATGCGCAGCTCAGTGTAAAACCTTGATATTCCTGGCATGTCAATTCTATTGAGTTGTTAAGGGTATGTATTAAAGCCCAGGCAAAATCTGCAACGCCACAACAAAAATGTCAGAACTTTTTTGGGATGATCAAAAAGTGGGGGTGGGATGCAGTTAAGATTTGAAAATGAAAGAGAAGCCGATTGTTGCCATTTGGTTGCCATTTTGTCTGCTCCAGACTTGATAAATTCCCTTCATAGTCCTTACTTTGCTTTCCAGGGTAGGCGATTTAAACCCTGCTGTTGCTGAAGCCAGTGCCATCTTTAGGGCGTCTGTTATTTCCTTTACCCTCGATGGACATTAGTAAATCCTGCAAATGCACACGCTGAAAGGAGCCAATCATTCATCAATCAATACAAGACTTATAACAGCAAGTGCCCATGCCGGAGATCTGTTATGATGTTATGCAGCATAGGCAGTGTTTACATTTCAGCACAGCCCGAAAGCCAAGATTTTAACTACACATACGCTGCTGAGATCACTGAGAAAGAATGCAATGCCTGAGGAAATAAAAAAGCCTTTGGAGGATGGGGATAACAAAGCCAAGTATGTAGAATATGCTTTAACCCCTTCATGACTGAGCTAGTTTTCAGGTTCTGTTCATAAATGACTGACACATTTTTTACATTTTTGCTGTGTGATTCTTCCACAGCAGTAATATACTTTCTTACTAAATGTACCCACACATATTATATATTATTTTTTAGAGGACAGATAGGGCTATATAATTATATCACATATGTGTACCTAACCCCTCACTTAGTTTGAATAAAATAAAAAAAAATGAGGAAAAAAACTAGAAGAAAACACTTTTTTCACAAGTTTTGATTATTATTATTTTTTTTTGAATTTTTTGATATTAATTATAGTATAAAAAATATATTTATATATAATTTATATTTTCCTAATTTTGTTTTACACTTTATTTTAATTTTTTTACACTTTGTAAAAAAAATAAAAATAAAATAAAAAAACTTTTTTTTTCTTGTCAGTTTATATCAAGCAATCACTATGACAGCTTGATAAATTAACTTTTTTATTTTATTTTTGGCTATTAGGCTGATCCAAACTTAGGAACAGCTAATAATAACCTTAGAGACTGATCCTGACTTGATTCAGATCTCAAAAACTTTTTTTTTCTTGTCAGTTTATATCAAGCAATCACTATGACAGCTTGATAAATTAACTTTTTTATTTTATTTTTGGCTATTAGGCTGATCCAAACTTAGGAACAGCTAATAATAACCTTAGAGACTGATCCTGACTTGATTCAGATCTCACTAAAAGCTCTTTGATCGTGCCTAGACGATCAGAAATGATACATTTCACTCAAAAGAGATACATTGTATTCTTTCAGTGAAATGTATCTAAACATCGGGCTCTCGAACTGTCAAAACAAATAGCAGAGAGGTGAGGTGAGTCACTGCTGCCTCTCTGCTATTTTGAGCTGTCAAATACGGGATCGCAAATTGCGGTCCTCTATTTGCATGTAACGGCTTCATTCTTTCATTAATGAAAGGAAGAAGCTTTTACAAAAAGCTTAATTATTTCATTAATTAATGCCTCAATACTGAGACATTAATGAATGACTGTTAAATGCTGAGAATCAGCAAATACCGGCATTACAAAGCCTGATATAACTCGTCACGTACAGTGTACGTGGCCAGTCATATAGGCACAAAGTGACAAGACGTACACTGTACGTCTCCCGTCACGAAGGGGTTAAATAAAAGGCAACTTGCAATGCTGGCTTTACTTCCACTTTAACACTTTACGTTTTACACATAAATGACCGGCATTTTGTAGTTGTAGAAGAGTTAAATAGTAGACAAAGTGGTGCACAAAAGAGTGAAGAACACTTATTTCAAACCAAATATTTTTGTATTAGTTTAATTTACAATCATTTACAATTTTAATGTTGGGATGATGTGTGAAAACGGTGAGACTAGTCACCAAGGCTTAGCGCTGGTGGTCTGAGTAAAGAGGTTGACAACTGCTGCATTAATGTATGGAATTTACAAAGCATAAAGACTATAGTCATCTACAGCTAAATACATCTAAATATCTCTTCTGTATTGCCTACTAAACATTATTAACCTTATAGTGGAAAGCCAGCTAAATGATGCCACTAGTTTTAGATTAGATTTAGGTCTTACTGACGTCATGATTTCCCTTCCCTAGTGTTGTAGTCAATAACTCAAGAAGAGGGCAAAATCTATCCAAAAAGTGAATATACAGCAACATACTTTTTGCATAGCAGGAAGGAAATAAAACCTTGATCAGGTTTGTACCTCAATTTCTTCATGTACAAGCCTGTTAGCCGTTTAAGGCGTACATGAGTAAACAGGCATTTAACAAGATGAGAAGATCCTTATAAAATGTTAAGTATCTTTCCATGATGAGAGGTACACTCAGAAGCACTTCACCTCTTTTTCCCCTATTTCAATTGCTTTATGGTCACTGGCACAGGAAAAAAACTTCCCAGCAGAAATACAAACGGCAATAAAAACTGACAGGAGGCTCAAATCTTTGATCATGCTATTCATAAAAAAAGCCTTGGTTGGCATTCCTCAATGTGTTCAGAACCACAGCAATTGGACTGCCCAGTCATGCTATTATAAGAAGTTAATGCAACATGCACCCTTACCTTACTGTACCAGTGAAGACAGGGCTGTACAACTTCCGGATCATCAATGCCACTGATTTCAACGTACCAGATGCTGAAGTTAAAGCTTGGTCCCCATGACAAGAGAGGTACTGAAGAAAAGAAAAAAAAGTTCAAAAAGGAGGTATTAAGTTGCATTAGAATTAAAAGGGATAGTTCACCTTTTAGGGACATTTCCCCCAAAACATCCCATGCTTTTTAGCATGCTCTACTGAACATAAATCACTGTTCAGCTTTACAAAAAAAAAAATGCTCCTGTGCCATGTCATACCTTAAGACCGTATGTGGCCTGACTGCTAAACTCCTTGCCAGTTGATCGCCCTCCATCCCTATACATTGCAGGATGCACCTGCATGCCCACAGCACATTCCAGCATGGCGCATGCACAGTGCATGTTCTTGCTCCCTGAACTCAGGCAATGCTGCTGGAGGGCAGAGAGCACATTTCACATGCTTAGTATTTGAACAAACCGTGGGTTCATTCCTTCTGTATTGGGGGGGTGCACATGTGTGCACTGCAGTGCATAGGAACAGAGGGGGATCACTTGGCAAAGAGTTTTGCAGTCAGGCCACACACAGTCCTAAGGTATGACATGGCGCAGAACTTATATTCGGCAGACTATGCTGGAATACATGGAGCTTTTTTGGGGAAGTGTCCCTAAAAGGTAAACTAACCCTTTAAAGTTCTTTCGTATACTTCTATCCTTTGCAATATCTGTTGTTCAACTACATAGGTTGTGTCATGTAAATAGATATCCAACATGCCAAGCTTAAAGTTTGCATGCGCCTGTGGCACGGCAATAAAATACAGTACTGCGAATTGTCCATAGGCAACCCTTTAAAAGCCTGCACAGGACATCAGTTTATAAGTTAACCGTGAATAATGGCCCTAGAATTATTGCCCTCACTGAGGTGTACGTGGCAATAGCAAACAATACCCAAAATGTGGAACAATCGTTTTTGTATGCAGGCACACCAGACATGCGTTTGTGTTAGTATGTACGTGTATACAGGGACGGTGGACTTTAAACATGTTTTTGGGGGTGTTTCCAAATTTTTTTTAATGTAATGTTTTTTTGTTATAACTTTTTTCTTTCACTTAACTTTATTATCACATAAGGGGGGCTCACAAGCACCCTAAGAGATAACACTTAAATAGCACAGGTCCTCGTTAAAGGTGACGTTAGGGGTCTATTATACCCGTCACCTTTGCAGCCCATTAAAGCTGGGCAAGCACAGATTGTGCCTGATCAGTTTCTTCCCCGGCCTCTCTAACCAGGGAATGACAGCTCAGGAGCTGGAAGCGATTAAATTGTTGCTTTGTTTCATTGAGAGGGGAGGAGATCAGTAAACAGGCTCTTGGGAGCGCACTGGTTTACTGACCCCTGGAAGCAATCAGGCGGCTTTACACAGGTAGAACTAGATTTGAATAGGGGTTAGAACCACTCACCAACTTTTTTTTTTTTATTGCTGCCCGTGTCCTATTTGGGAAATTTACTCTTATTGTTCTGATCATTAATGTCACCGGTAAGGAAAGGGAGGGTAAACACATAATGTTCAAATTGTCAGCAGAACAGGAATAGAGGGGAAATGTTCCAATGGGGCACTTCCGTGATAACCGTGTAAGAGGGGATATCCCTTACATTAGAAAGATATCCTCTCATATTCATTTGAGTTGCAGGGGAAAAAAAAAAGTCAGGTAATCTTAATGAGACAGACAGCATAAAAACAGACAGTGGTTTTAACCCTCTCCTCCAAAATGAAGGATATACTTTTAGACATCCGTTTCAGTGTTTAAAGTAAGCTTACATAACGTGAAAAACACACAAAAATGGGCATACAGTAAACATTTTTTCATTTCAAAACGTGTTATTCAGGAGTTTATTCTGTAAGGTATTGTTGTAATTAAATGCTATTGTTACCACAACAGTAAAAACTTGACTAAGGTTGAGGTTAGTTGCTAATAAGTATACATCCGTAAAGTGGATCTCTAGGAATTGTAAAAATTATTCCTTGCAGTAGGACTACACCCGCACTCCAAGGGTTAACTGCTCATTTTGCTCTAGGGGCTAAAATAAAGGATATACTCATGTGATCCTCAGTGCTGCCTGGCTGCTAGGCCATTCTCTGCAGCCTCTTCTCCTTCGGGATCCAGCGGTCTAAGGACCTGTGACATCACATCTAATGCAAATGCATTAGACATGAAGACACTAAGGCAGGGGTAGCCAAACTCCAGCCCTCCAGCTGTGTTGAAACTACAAATCCCATGATGCATCTGTCTCCTGGAGTCATGTCTGTGGCTGTGAGAATCTTGCAATGCCTCATGGGATTTGTAGTTCAACCACAGCTGGAGGGCCGGAGTTTGGCTACCCCTGCACTAAGGGGCATTCCACCGCCGGACCAAGTGCATCTTCTTTCTTCCTGCCCTTAAAGGAAAAAGAGCAGTTAACTCTTGCAGTGCAGGCATAGCCCCACTGCATTAGTTAATTTTCACAATTCCTGGATTTCCTTTCAACAACTTCTGACACAAGCAAGTAATATACCTATTTTAATGAATCGGCACGGGAACATCTGCTCATCAATTTTATGCTTCAATGTGAATGTTTCTTTGTTATAATCATTCTTCAGGCCACTGAAAGAAAGAACATGCTTTAAGTATGCATTTAGTACAATTTAGATCTTGCAACTTTGACTATGCAGAAATCACACTGTTCGTTTAATGCTGGCATACAAAAAAAATCAAAGTAAAAGACTACAGCATCTATAAACATGACTCTACTATTTAACAACTGAAATATTCTAGCAGGTGTTTTTCCTCATCATGTAAGAGATATGGATGCTACAATAGCTTACTTCAAACAGATGACTCCTTACAAATTAGCGAGTTGGTACACTAAAACAAATACACTAAGAAACCAGCAAGATCAGAACTTCGGACCTTCATAGTTGGTCCAGATCAGTAACTCGGCAAGTAGTAAAGCCAAGGAATGGTTACTAGGATAAAGGCCTAGTAATCGCGGGCAGCACAGTGGCGTAGTGGTTAGCGCTTCTGCAGCACTGGTGGTCCCCAGTTCGAATCCCGGCCAGGGTCACTATCTGCAAGGAGTTTGAATGTTCTCCCTGTGCCTGCGTGGGTTTCCTCCCACACTCCAAAAGACATGCTGGTAGGTTAATTGGCTCCTCTCTAAGTTGGCCCTCTATGTATCCATGTGAGATAGGGACCTTAGATTGTAAGCTCAATGAGGGTAGGGACTGATGTGAATGTGCAACTATGTAAAGTGCTGCAAAAATTGTTGGCGCTATATAAATACCTGTAATTAAAAAAAAAAAATTCAAAACCTAACAGGTTGGCAGGGCTTTCCCACTTTAGGGCTCAAATGGCAGAAAATCCCCCAATCCATTGTGCAAAGCTTGTCGCGTCATACCCAAAAAGACTCAAGCCTGTAATTGCTGCCAAAGGTGCTTCAACAAAGTACTGAGTAAAGGGTCTGAATACTTAAGTACATGTGATGATTCAGTTTTTTTCTTTTTAATAAATTCACAGACATTGCTACAATTCTGTTTTCACTTTGTCATTATGGGGTACCGAGTGTAGATTGATGAAATAAACAAATTAATTTAAACTGTAGTATCAGGCTGCAAGATAACTGAAAAAAAAGTGAAGGGGGTCTGAAATAAATATATCAGGGCACCAGGGGCAAAAATCTTAAAACTACAAGCAGGCATCCTGGAGGTGCCATGACTGATGCAGCAGTACTGGGTGTTACAAAAATCAGAGTGCTCCATAAACTTGCTGAACCCCTGTGACGCATTGAATCTCTTCTTCCGAAATACTCGACCTACTACATGCACCTGTCTCTACAATACAGGCAGGAAAAATGTGACCTTTAATGCTTCCACTTTTACCTTGATAAAAGCTCCGTCATGTTTTCTTCATTCATGCCACCAAAAACTTTGAACTTTTTCAAATTACAAACATGAGTCTTCTCATATTTTCCAAAGGTGATGCTCTGGACAATGGCTGGTCTTTCTGCTTTCAGTATGAGATACTAGATCACAAAAAAACATAGGACAATGGTTATTACTGGATACTAAATGTAAACACCTCTGCAAATGATTCACAAGTATTTTACGGTCAAAGAGTAGCATATGTTTCCAATTATACCCAAAATAGTCATTTCTAGTGTACCAATATCCCGGCTACTGAACAGAGTTACCTGAGGGGGGTAGTTGCTCTCGGAAGACCATCGTGAAGACTGATCGTTAGGCTTGTCAACCAAAATGTTTCTGGGAAAATCAAATTTAAATAAAGTTATAAGGGAATTGAATTGTGCACCACAGAAGAAAAACACCATTCCTAGCTCTGACCCAAAATTCTCTATATTGCAGCTGTGAACATATTCACGGACATTCAAAAATGAACATACAAAAGTTTGGAAATGCATAGAAATGTTTCAAGTGTTTGATACTTCTAGACTACTTTCCAGAGGTTGGAAAACCATGTATAATTTGTGTATTTAAGAGGACAACGTTTTCTTAGTTTTGATAAGAGTAATAGGCAAAGGATAGACCCCCCATGGATTCTCTCTTACTGAATCTATACCGCAGAATATACTGATCCATGCTCTGTTAATCCATACGGCTTTACTATATCTGCCAGAAAAAATGGATTCCTTACCAACACTCTCCAACTGAGAGCAGGAAAGAATATACTATATTACATTTTATTGTTTTACAAGGAAATCGTTTTCAGCCTATGAACTTAAAGACAGCTAGTATGCAAGTTTTTATTGTCGAGATGGACTTTCATGTGCCAAATTGTAACCTTTTATATATACAAAATGTAGGTATTACTATTAAAATGATACCCAGACCATGAAAGCAGGGCCTCACAATCCTAGTTAAATTGCACACTTGTTGCAAGAACTCTTGACCAGTTTTAACTGCAAGTGGTATTACTGCATCACCTTGGAGGTTTTGTTTTATCAACAGTACTAGTGGCTGCACTATTAGAAAGCCAACAACGTCCAGTGCTGGCATGCACAATAATCAAAGTTTTTAAAATATTTTTTTTCATTTGATCCTTTCACTCCTTAATGTGGCATTTAAATGATCGGAAATGATAATATTTATAATGATGCTTCATTTCACCAACGTAGCATTGAAATGATGCAAAATTATAGCCAAATACACCGACAAATTTATACTATTCTTTTTATTTAATGATTTGGTTTATCAAACTTTACCAAGAAACCATCTTTTGCAGCAATTACAGCATTGCAGGCCTTTGGCATTTTCACAATTGGATGATATCCAGGAGAAACATCAACCCATACTCCCCAGGGTTTTCCGACACCTTGCTGTGAAATACTTTCCATGAGAGCTTAATTGGGCTGTGATCCAGCCAATTGTGGCAGATAACCCATCAAAGAATACTTGGGCTTCCTACTTCTTTACTAAATGGGTATTCCATAGGTTAGAAGTCTGCTTCAGATCACTGTCCTGCTGCGTGGTAAACTCTATAGCAGTTAGTCACTGTGCACAAGTAATGGCATGACATTTGAACATTCTTGTGTCATTGTTCTCTCAGTTTACCAGCATCAAAAAGGAGCTCCACACCATTACTTTTCCTCCACCATCTTTGACAGAAGACATCAAGGACTCCCCCACAATCCACTCATTTATGGTCTACAGCTCACATAGCGTATGTTCTTTTCTTTGATCCAAACTCCTCAAACAGACATATCCATCCTTTGTACTATTTTCTAGTTATCCATAGTCCAATGTCTGGCATCACTTCTAAGTTAAACCCATTAGTTTTATTTGCTAGCTTGCTAGGTATGGCTTTCTCGGTAAAACTGTGCCCCTATGGCCAGCACTTCCAAGTTGTCATTTCACTGGCCGACCTGTAACAATGAGACTGTCACAGGTCGGCTCAGTAGATCGGGAGGTGAGCGAACATATACCGGCGTTCATTCACCTCTCGATCCTGTCACGGCTCTCTGCCATGACGGGGAGGGGCTGGATTTCCCCCCTCCGAGCGCTGACTGGCGGATCGGATGGGGGAGGGGGCGGGTACAGCTGGCTCTGCCACTAGATAGGCAGAGCCAGCTGTCACTCACGCAGCTGGGCGGATCTCGACATCGATGTCGGGACCTGCTCTGGCTGCGGCATCTCCGTATACCGCGAGCTACAGCTCGCGGTATACTGAGCTTAGGGTAACGGGAGGACGCTAGTTTGTGTCCTCCCGTTACCCTAGGGAGAACTATGGGGAAAAACACTGACCCCATAGTTCTCCTTTAACTATTAGTCACACATGACTGGCCTAATTTTAGTAGCCATATTTCTAACAAAATATAAACTAGTAATTATAAGCAGTAATAGCCATTTGCAAGTTTACGTATGCTATGCATTGAAACCAGTTTAAGCAGTGTGATTTTTAAAAAATGGTATAAGTGGTTGCATGCACACAATGGGGGGGAAGTTATCAAAACTGGAGTAGACAAAATCTGGAGCAGATTTGCACTGCAGCCAAATAGCTTTCCCTTCTCATTTCCAAATCTTACCTGGGCAAACTGAAGAGTGGCTGATTGGTTGCCATGGGCAACTGCTCCAGATTCTGTTTGCTCCAGTTTTGATAAATTCCCCTCAATATATTTACTATA